TAGTTTGAAATTAATGTTTATTTATTTACAAAGCAATAGAATTTATACAAAAAGCAATAGAATAGATTTTTTGTGAAAGTAACTTATTTTTTAAGTAATACTTTAAAGGTTTTCTTGGACGGATTTACGTTGTCAACTAAATTTGTTCGACCCAAACGATTGTTAAGTTATTGAAAAAAATTATAAATTTAATTTGATTAAGAAAAATTTTCAATCGGACAGTCAATACAGAATAATAATAATACAGAATAATAAGAATAATAATACTCAATAATGAATAATTTTTAAAAAAGACAATTGGGACAAGGAGTTTCATCAATAAAAGAATCCTAACATCGTAAATTAAAAATAAAAATTTGCTATTAGTAATATAACTTTCAAAAGTGGAATAATAATAAATGAACCACACTATAGAGAACAAAGAAAAGCCGATCCTGCATTGTGCGAACTTACTTTGAGACTCACTCTCACGTTGACGAGCAGCATTAACCAAAAACTCGTACATCTATATATTGTCACTTCTCATAAATGAATGTTTTGTCAGTACCACTATTTTGTGTTTCTGCATGCAAGTGAGAAATTTTGGTACAAATTGATCACATCCAGATAGAAATTGAAGAAATTGTTTACTGATGCATTGGAAATATAAATATGAGCTATTATTTTGATAATTTTATAAGCTATACTTATTGGTTCTTCTTTGTTCGTGCAAGTTATTATTTAAGATTTTTTCTAACAAGTAAGTCAAGTAAAGTCATCGGAAGCCTAAGTCAGTGACTTACTTTAACAATTTAAAAATATACGAACGGTGTGATCTACCAAAATCACTGTTCAGTATTTCATCGAGAGGTAAGGAGGATTCTTACTCAATCGTCTATTTGACGGTGAAATTCCTTACTGAAGGTTATGACTTCATCTAATACATTCAGGAGAACTGTCCCTGTTTTCTTTACCTCTAACACTAACTTTACACCACGGATTATTGTAAGTAGTAGAAACGGATAATAAAATAAATTTTAAATAACGGTAAAATTTCAATATATGTATGGTTATCTTTGTTTCACTTGCGTTTGATTATAACAATCAGATGTGATCAAAAAATATGAAGCTTAGTATCCTAAGTAATTGACGTCAATTTTTTCCCTACAAACTTTTCACGCGTATGTAAAAAATTTGTACAAATTGTTGTACCAATCACTCTAGCATACTTGTAGCATTGTTTTCATAGTGGGACTTAGTTTCTTAAGCAACTCTATTTTATAAAGCATCCACATTTTCAATACATCACTCTCTTCAACTTCTATAATAGAAAGTAGTAGTAGTAGTAGTAGTAGGCTTTATCTGATGAATGTATTGACCGCCACAAAACAAGTCATGGTATAATACTTTTACTCTGGAAAAGTAAGAGTGGGAGCATTATCGAGATTTCTTTACATTGAATCGCGCATATTGTCTTATAATAAATTGAAATGAAAAAAAAAGAATCGGAAAAATACATTATGCTGATGTTTGATCCTAATTGTCATCTATACTATTATATTTCTTCATTTATTATGACTGTTTTATGAAGTTCTGGTTTAATATGTACTTGATTTATCAATTCCTGAACGATGTTCACGCGACATTAAGGAAAACTTTGGAACTGATTTTCCTAGTATACGTTTTAAACGAGAAACTTGCTTGACCATACTTAAGTATTATATCGTCTCTCTGATAGTGGTTTGGTCATTTCTTTATCAGAGTCATTTTCTTAATGTATTCTTTGCTATCTTCTAATGTCTTTAATACCACTATAAATGTGGTGAAAAAACTTATAAGATTTATTGAGTCTAATTATTTGAATTGTTGAAATAACGAATTCCGGATACTTTTTAATTGAGATAAAAACATTTATTTGGAATATAAGCAAATATAGGTCGAAGTTAAATATTATTTTTTCAAACCTTTTGCGAATATTAGTTAGGATTTGTTTAATGATATTCGATTTCAAAAATAATTATTAAGTCCCGAATAGCTATTCTTAATAAGACATTATAACCGATACTACAATAAATAATTAATGAAAATTTAATTTACAAATAAAATTTTAATTCTTTAAGTGTTTTGATAATTGTTTTTATATATTTTGCATTATATATATTCAGTTGATATCTTCGGATATGCAGAAATACTATTTTTAAGCTTAGACTTCGCTTGGTATTCTCTTTTTTCCATTCATTTTATTTGATTTTTATTTCTTTTTATCTTACAAGTTTTTTGAGTCATCCATCCAGCGAAGCAAAGTAGCCAAAGCGGGTTTTGCGAATATCAATTCATTTCAATATAAATAAAAGCGCTCACACAAAGTTCATGATGTTGTCGTTGTTGTTGGTTTTCTATATACGAGTACATTATTGTATATTATTGTATAATGGTTTTTTTCTCTTGAACGCACAAGTTCAAAGTCGTTGATTTGCATGCGAATGACATCACTGTGGATAATCACAATGGAGCATTTTGGACACATTTTAGCTGTTAATCGTTTGTTCGGAAATTGCAGCCCACCTGGAGGTGCCTTCGTGGTGAGAGACACAGAAGATCGCATAAAAATAGCATTCGTTTAGTGTAGCTACGCTTCAATCACTGAATACTGAAGCAGTCCGTTCTGGTGTGGAAGAACTAAGAAACCGGAAACTAAGAGATTATTTCATTGCTAATTTATGGGTGTTTATTTCTGTTTATTTAATTTCAGTTAAATTTGAATTTTAAGCTGTCGTCTAACCTAGTAAAAACTGAGATCGTACTAATGATCATTTAATATTTTTGTTTAAAAAAATTTTTAGAAATCGAAACTATACGCAATGAAATCAATTTTATAATATTTATTAAATACGAAATCGGACCAGATTAACTGGAATACACCCTATAAGTTAACGGATATAAAGTATAAGAGTGAAATCTTGGTTGTATGGATTTCGGTAATTTGTTTTTAATAAATTATTTCTATTCTTAAAATATGGTAGTTAAATTTAAGTAGAGACTTTATAAAAACAGCGATCTCGTATTCATTTTTTCACCAACTAAGGCAATATATAAACGAAAGAGTTAAACTGACAATGCTATGTCGACATCATGCGATGAATGCGTGATGGTTAGGGTCTTTGATATATTATATCATTATTCTGACCTGATGAAGCATAAAATCTAT